CGCTGTCCTCGTCAGTGGAACCAGCTGCTCCCGGAGGAGCCCGGGCCGCGCAGGTGACTCGGGTGCCTGTTCCCGCGGCGCAGGATCCCCGGTGCCATAGGAAATGGCTGCAGGCTGCAGTCTAGGGCACAGGCAAGGCGTAGGCATGTGATTTCTGTAGCTTGTACCGGAAGCTCAGGGGTTAGTGAAAGCAGCTCATTAACATCACCATTTTAATGACCGCATATCACCCGGATCTCTTGACGTTGGAGGGAAAGTTTAAAAGATAACTGCTCCTATGTGGCTAATACTCTTTAGGACGGGATAAAGTGGATTCCGAGTCACTGACATTGCTTATTTGACGCTATTATTGTTGCCTTACCTCTTTGGTTGTATTAGTTTTAAAAAGTTATATATTTTTATTGATTTCAGAGAGGAAGGGAGAGAGAGAAACATCAATGATGAGAATCATTGATCGGCTGCCTCCTGCACGCCCCCTACTGGGGGTCGAGCCTGCAACCCGGGCGTGTGCCCTTGACCCGAATGGAACCTGGCACAAGCTGATGCTCTGCCCACTGAGCAAAGCCAGCGAGGGCTCTTTGGTTGTATTTTTAAGAACTCTTTCAGCCCCGCCAGTGTGGCTCAGTGGTTGAGCATGACCCATGCACCAAGCGGTCACAGGGCGCATGCCTGGATTCCTAGGGCATGCATGAGGCAGCTGATGGATGTTTCCCTCATAGATGTTTCTATTGTTCTCCTCTCTCTTCCTCTCTCTCTAAAATCAACTAAAACTTTTTTTAAAGAAATTTTTAACGATCTTTTTTAGAAGGAATGAGAAATGTTTTGGGAATTGATTTAGACATGTTTTTCGATTCCATTACTCTTTACAAATATATATACCTTTTTATTGATTTCAGAGAGGAAGAGAGGGAGAGAGAGAAACATCAATGATGAGAATCATTGATCTGCTGCTTCCTGCACGCCCCCTAGTGGGGATAGAGCCCACAACCCGGGCATGTGCCCTGACCCGGAAAGGCGAGCTCCTGGTTCATTGGTCAACGCTCAACCACTGAACCACGCAGGCCGGCTGACTCCATTACTCTTAATAGCTAAGTCTGTTTTTTAAATTATTGGTAAAAATTCTGGAAGAACTCTTTTTTCTTTATCTGCCTTCCTTTCCTCTTCCATTTTTTACCTTCTTGTTCTTGCATCATTTCCCATCCTTTAAGTCTTCACTGCCCTTTGCTTTCCAACATCATAGGGTTCCGTAATAGGCTCAGCTGAGCATGGCCACACAGCACTTTCAGAAGCCGCCATGGACCCTGCTTGTAAAACTGGCTGGGTCTTTGGCGTGTTGAGCTTCTATTTGACCCTCTACCATCATGTAGTCCTCCAGTCAGTTTAACAAGATTTTTTTATATATATATTTTATTGATTTTTTACAGAGAGGAAGGGAGAGAGAAAGAGAGTTAGAAACATCGATGAGAGAGAAACATCGATCAGCTGCCTCCTGCATATCCCCCACTGGGGATGTGCCCGCAACTCAGGTACATGCCCTTGACCGGAATGAACCTGGGACCTTTCAGTCCGAAGGCCGACGCTCTATCCACTGAGCCAAACCGGTTTTGGCCAGTTTAACAAGATTTAATGGCCTAAAATTGTCCTCTGTTACAGTGATTTCTACTACTGAGGAGAAATATATTTTCCTGAGGCATATATTTCAGGTTTTTTTTTAAAATATATTTTATTGAGTTTCCACAGAGAGGAAAGAAGAGAGATAGAGAGCTAGAAACATCGATGAGAGAGAAACATCGACCAGCTGCCTCCTGCACACTCTCCACTGGGGATATGCACGCAACCAAGGCACATGCCCCTGACCGGAATCGAACCTGGGACCCTTCAGTCCTCAGGCCGACGCTCTATCCACTGAGCCAAACCGGTCTCGGCATATATTTCAGTTTTTGATTTGGTTACCAACCTTGCTTCTTTTTGGACATTGATTTTTTTTTCAGAATTAGTTTTTATTATTAAAATGTTTACAGAGGTTTTTTTTCTTTTATTATTATTAGTTAGGGTATTACAAATGTGTTGGACATTGATTTTGCTCCATTGATTAGGGCCCACAATTATGTTGGGTGTTCCAGCACAATTAATGCTGTCCTAGGTTGCTGTTTTTCTTTTAGCCCATACTTTATTGATTCTCCTGGTAGATGGACTTCCAAATCTGTCTTTCTTCCCATCCCCAGCTTGTCCCATTATTACATTCAGGGTATTGCTATGGAAGAGTATTGTGTGCTCCTTACATCTTCTGCCTCTAAATTCCTTGTTCACTCACTGGTCACCCATTCCTTTATTTCTGTAACATTCATTTCAGCATTCCTGACCCCTGACTTCTGTTGCTAGAGCTGCTACCATATATGTAGGAATGCTGTTGGCTTTGGAGGAACAGATACTGCTAGTTCTAAAGTACATTTCTTATTTAATATATCATGATAAGTATGCTCTTAAGAACCCAGATGTTATCTAAAATATTAAAAAAGAAGTTTCAGTGAGGAGGAGGAAGGGTCAGGGGTTAGGTTCATACAAAATAATTTTTTCTGTAGGCATTTCAATGTATTAAAGATGTAAGAAATAAAACCTGAGCAATAAGGCCATTTATTTGGCTTATATTTAAAAGCAATAATCTTTCTCTACTATCATCAGCATATTATTAGCACAGTGCTTTGTATCCTTATATTTATTACTCATTATTTTGATAAATATATAACTATACTCAAAACTGCTGTGGTGCTAGCAACAACTTTTCTTCCTGTGATGCCATCTCTTTCGGACCATTAGCAGTTTGCACAATGCAATTCAGGTTCCTTATTAAATTAATTATACTTCGTTAGTATTATAAAAATTTATACTATAGCAGAAATCCCTGTATGTGCTTGTATGTCATAAGTTGTATAAACTTTGGTGGACTTAGTTTGGAGTGAATCATAACATGATTCCCATAGGAAACCAAGAAATATTTGGAGCATAACCAAGCATTCCTTCATCTTTAAATCAGGGATAATACAGTTCCTATATCACAGGTTTGTTCTAGGAGCAATCGAAAGACTGAATATTTATGTACTCTTTCATTGAACAAACCTTTAGTGAGTACCAATATGTACAAAACACTGTCCTAAGTAAGTAGTGTACAGTTCAGAAGAATAAGAAAGCCATGTAAAAGATGAAATTGATTGTAATGGGTGCAATATATGATAGAGGTATATGATAGAGGTGCAAGGGAGAGTAACCATAAAAGGCTTTGTGGAATAGTTGCCACTTGAGCTGAGTCTTGAAAGATGATTAGGTATTCTCAGGTAGCCAGTTGTGTTGATGGCAGTGAGTAGAGCAAAGCAGGAGGAATGATATAGAGCAGTGGTTCTTAACCTTGGCTGCACGTTAGAATCACCTGGGAATCTTTTTAAAATCCTGATTTCTGGGCCTCATCCTCCAGAAATTCTGTTTCTTTGTTACTAATGTTGTGGCCCCACCCCATAACAAAAAAACAGAACTTCTGGAGGATAAGGCCCAGAAATCAGGATTTTAAAAAGATTCCAAGGTGATTCTAATGTGCAGCCAAGGTTGAGAACCACTGATATAGAGGCTATGTGTTCCAAAACTGCAGGTGCAAATGATTAGAGGAGAGAGGTACCAAAGGTGTTACAGGGTGGGATGAAGTAAGTATATGAATAATTACCAAGGTGGAGATTGTATGACATGAAGTAGGTTTGTAGGAAAGATGATAAGTTTTGAATATAGTGGATTTCAGATGTTTGTCAATAGTTAATATTACAGATGCTTATGGGATATAATGCCTATAGAATGGAGATGTAGGTTACTAGTAAAACCACAGCCTTTAAAAATAACTGCTCTTTTAGACACATTTCTATGAAAAGTGCAGTGACTTCAGTGATATCTCATATTCTTTGAAAAAAAAGTATATAATTTATCACCCATTTTTCTTCTTTACTCTTTTTTAACTTCCCTAGTGTTCATTTTTTTATTCACCTAGGCTTACTTACTGGTATCCTTCCACTCTGAGGCTTTACCCATTCTGAAATACATTTAAAAGTTTAACCACTTCTGGACTACATCAAACAAAAAGTTTTTGCACAGTGAGGGGCACCATCAACAAAACAAAAAGTCAACCAACTGAATGGGAGAACATATTTGCAACTTATACATCTGATAAGGGGTAATATCAAGATTATATAAGGAACTCATACACTTAACACCAAAAAAGAAAAAAAGAATACAATTAAAAAATGGACAGAGGACCTGAATAGACATTTCTCTAAAGAGGGCATGTAGATGGCCAACAGATATATGAAGAGATGCTCAGTATCACTAATCAGGGAAATGTACATTAAAACCACAATGAGATATCATCTCACACCTGTCAGAATGTCTGTTATCATTAAATCAACAAATAAGTGCTGGTAAGGATGTGGAGAAAAGGGAACCCTCCTATGTTCTTGGTGGGATTGTAAATTATTGCAGCCACTATGGAAAACAGTACAAAGATTTCTCAAAAATAAAAAATAGAAGCCCCATATGGTCCAGCAATTCCACTTCTGGGTATTTATCCAAAGGAAATGAATGAGATACCTGCACCCCCTTGTTCACTGCACCATTATTTACAAGAACCAAGACATAAAACAACCTGTCTCCATCAATGAATGAATGTATAAAGAAAATGTGCTAGCCCTGGCTGGATTGGCTCAATGGGTAGAGCCTAGGAAATACTTCCCAACTTATTCTATGAGACCAATATCACTTTGGTAAGAAAATCAGACAAAGGCATATAGAGAAAATTAGGTCAAGCTTCTGGTAAAGATGGCTGAGAAGGTAAATGTGATATTTGTAGCCTCCCACAACCACATCAAAATTACAACTAAATATAGAACTACCATCATTCAGAACTGCCTGAAATCTGGCTGAATAGAAGTCCTACAACTAGAGAAGTAAAGAAGAAAGCACATTGAGATTGGTAGGAGGGGCAGAAATGTGGACGGGCTGGTCTGACACCCATGTGTAG